CATCCACCCACCCCCGTCTGTAACAAGTGGACAGGTGTCCTTTTGTCTCATCCACCCAGCCCCGTCTGTAACAAGTGGACAGGTGTCCCTTTGTCTCATCCATCCACCCCTGTCTGTAACAGGTGGACAGGTGTCCCTTTGTCTCATTGTGTCCAAAAAGCATCAAGCTTGTTTTTCGATGTTCCTTTTGACACCAAACACTGTATCAGGTCTCATATTGAAAAATGTCCAACAGTACGTCTGCAGTACCACACATGCTTTGACTGCTCTGACTCAACCAATCAATATTCCGGAGTCATCAGTGCCACCCTGCAGGTGAACACCTCACCTTTCATGGGAGGCTGTGTACACAGTGTCAGCATCAGGAAGGCTAATTTAATCAGTAGGAGTTCAGCTCGTTATGTAAGTCTCTCAGGGCTGGAGAGTGAACTCACAAAGTGAAGTGCCTCTGTTGTCCTTGGAGATTTAAGTTTATGGGACAACAGAATATTTTTATAGCTGCACTCTGCTTTTAGCTGATGCTGTGTTTCAGGTGCACTTACCTCTGAGCCACAGCAGAATAATGTGAGATATAATACATGACAAACAAGACCACCATATTCTTCTCTGATGTACAGGAGCAGGTGCAGATAGTTTCTGTTGGCGTACAGTTGATACGCACTTAATCTCCACCTTGTATCAGAGATCTCACCATGTGAAGGTGCTGCCACAAACAAAACACAAAATAAGACACGTGAAAACAAACAAAAACCAAAAACTCTTTGATAAACAAGTCAATGTCAGTTTTACAGTTTATTCATTAAAGGAAATATCAGTCATGAGTTATCAGATAATCATTTGTCTCCATGAGTTTGATGAAACCTGATTTATAAATAAGTTCTGTTGATTAAACTTTAGGCTCCGCCCTGTGAAACAAGCCCCTCCCCCTGTCGGCTGTAGAGCGCCATGTTTCTGTCTGTAATAACACAAACAGCAACAAGTTTAATGAACCTGACGAGTAATTCATCAAATAGATCGAACATTATCTTCATCGCATTAAGTTACAATTTTAGTTTGATGACGCGTGGCAGCTTGTTAATAAGTGATCATATAATTATATATTTGATCTGTTACATCACTGCTTGGGCGACACGGTGGTGTGGTGGTTAGCACTGTCGCCTCCCAGCAAGAGGGCTCCCAGTTCGATCCTGGGTGTGGGAGCCCTTCTGTGCAGAGTTTGCATGTTCTCCCTGTGTCAGCGTGGGTTTCCTCCAGGTGCTCCAGCTTCCTCCCACAGTCCAAAGACATGCAGGTTAATTGATAACTCTAAATTGTCCGTAGGTGTGAATGTGAGTGTGAATGGTTGTCTGTCTCTATGTGTCAGTCCTGTGATAGTCTGGTGACCTGTCCAGGGTGAACCCTGCCTCTCGCCCAGTGTCAGCTGGGATAGGCTCCAGCCCCCAACGATCCTCACGAGGATGAAGTGGTTAGAAGATGAATGGATGGACATCACTGCTTTCCATGTTTTTTAGTAATAATAATTTGTTGCATTTATGGTTTTATTGGGTCACTAGGAAGTGGATTCACAGCCAGCTAAGTGTTTGAGATATTATGGTCTGGCACAGTGGTTATAGTCGCTGTGAGACACACAGAGGGTCGGACAGAGATAAATCAGCCTCCTGCTGCAGCTGCTCTGAAACCAAAACAATGAACTAAAGACTCTCAAATGCTGATAATTCTGTTTGGGCTCAAACCACTTTGTCACATGTCCCTCATTTCATGTATTTATGTAAGTGTTGTGGACTCGCATTTTGGCTGTCACCATCTTGGATTTTTGGAGCCAGAATTGACCATATTTGGACAAGAGGGTGGAGCTAATGTTGGCTGCTTGAGGAATAATCGGATCATCTGTTGTTAACCATGAATGTGTCAGACTTTGTTTGGTCTCTGTCTGTGAGAATAAGAGAATCCAGAGCTGTGAGGAACATTGTGAACATGTCTTTTATTATCTGTGTTAAAGGGCTGCTGTTTAAAGCTTTTAGCTCTGCTCTCAGTATTTTATCTCTCAGTTCAGGTCATCGTTTCCTCAGCTCCTCTGCACCAACACCATCACGTCTATTATATCTCTGAACCTCGCTGCATCATAAACAGCCTCTCAGGACGCCGACAGACGTGAATTTATCAGTTTCCCATTCAGCAGCAGAGCTTCACACATCAGCTGATAGATGACCAGGTCTTTGTGTTAACGTGTCTGATCGATCTCTAAATTTACTGCTCGGCTCACAGAGAAGATTTAAGGTGTCCTTAGCGCTCATAAATACCTCGTCACCATGTCATCGTCCAGCAGAGCGATCAGAGTTAACGGGTTTAACATGTTGAGTTTATTTCATAAGCTCTTTATGAATTCTGCATGCAGCTGTTGGTTCTGACACGTGTGTGTGAATGAAAGATGGTTTTATTTTTCTATCGTCATGTTATAATTAACATAAGTATTAACTGTTGTGTATCATGTGTTGATTTATTGTCTGACGTCACAACGTTGTGTTTAATATGATGTAATAAGATGTTTTTTTTTCACACTCTTTTTATTTATATTCTGCTGTTTTCTTATAAATACAATTAATTTGACATCAGCTTATCAGTTTCTGAAGAAAGAAGAAAAAAGTTTGGTTAAAAAAGGTCACAGTATGAACTGTGTGTTTTCACCTTTAACAGGTCGTAAGGACTTCCTCCACATCTTTAATCTTAATGTAACGTGACATCACCTGGATCGACCCAGGTGTCTGTTATCAGTCAAACAGCACTGAGTTTATCGCTGGCTGTCGGACTGTGAAAGTCTCAGTCGTAACTCACGGCTCTGTCAGGACGATCTGTTTTCCTACAACTGATCGATTAGATTTCCGTCCTGTTCAGACGATCATTAATTCATCGTGTTATGTAGAAACAGTAAGCGTATCGTCCTGAGGGATGTTACTATCTGCAGCGTTGTGTGTTTTTGTCCTGTAACACACACACACTCTCTGGCAGCATGAGGAACACCTGCTCCAGTCCTGGGCCGCTCTCCTTCCTTGTGAATTCAGACCAAAGGTTCTCTGTGATCCTCGAAACCTTTTCTGCGTTTTACTCTGTCGCAATTTTCTATGGCCGGCTGTCAAACATTCATGTGTAAATGTGAGTGGAGTCCCCTGTGGGCCACCACAGGTGATTCATCAGGCCTTAAATTAAACTCTGTGCTGTGGATGTTTGTTTGTTTTTTTTATTGGTACCTGACGAATCACCACATGGCCTACAGCAGCTGAGAGTGTTGATGTTACGCAGCCAGCAGGAGGAGAGAAGACCAAACTCCTCCGATCCTGCAGCACGAACTGGGTTTAATTTAAACCACGTGTGTGAATGTGTTGGTTTAAACTGTGTTTTCTAACAGATGTCTCAGCTGTTTGTCCGGTCGGAGTCTTCAGGCAGAGCTTCAGCAGTTCAGCTGCAGGTTGAGACACTAGTGCAGTAACTGATCATGACTGTCTCAGTTTTATTTATTTTTTTTTTAAAGATTATTTTTTGGGCTTTTTTGCCTTTATTGTATAGGACAGAGTGAAAGGGGGTGAGAGAGAGAGAGCAGGGGGGTGACATGCAGAAATGGTCGAACCTGCGACTGCTGCAGCGAGGCATCGCCTCTGTACGTGGGGCGCCGGCACTATCCACTACGCTACCAACGCCCTGACTGTCTCAGTTTTAAATGTTGAGATTCCACAAAGTGCATACTGACCAAAGATGGTTGTTAATTTTTTGGGTGGGGGGGGGTGGGGGGTGTTTGATTGACTGGTGTGTCAGCTGATTACACCCAGGTCTGCTCCTTCTGGGCTTCACTGTCACAAAATCCAAATCTGGGGAAAAATTCACAAACTCCTGAACTGGAGACAAAATAACTGGGATCCAACAGGATTACAGAAAATCTACTGGTGTGATGTTCATGAAACTTGGTGGGAGGGTGTATCAGAGGTCGAGGAAGGCACCAGAGCAGACCCATGAATCACGTTTTAGTTTTTTGAACACCATGTGACTGAGTATTTGGCCTGGGTGGAGGTCTGCCCTCCTTGTGAGCACTGGTTGTGGTGGAGGTGGCTGAGCTGACGGCAGGAACACTAACTGACATCAGTGTGAGCTGAGGAGACGGCAGCGTGTTGAGATGTGACATGTTTCATGTGACATGTTGTGTGTAGTCGTCATGCTGTGATCTAATAATGATGTTGTAAGTCCCTGTCATGGAGCTGCTGCTTTTGTGTCTCCAGGGAAACCTCGTCATCCCATAGCGTTTGATCCACTGTGACATCAGGCAGGAGTTTGTGCGGCGTTGAAGGTGCTGTTTCTACTCATTATTGTTGGAGATGAGAGAAGGTTTCTGAACCTTTACACACACAAGGTCTGTTTGAGTGTTGGTGACTGATAATCAGCTGTGCAGCAGCTTTCGTCACAGTTTTGGTGGGGGCGGTGATGACGGCCACTGTGTGTAACCTCGAATCAGGAACAGGAATCTACTGACTGTTCACTGACCTCAGATCAGATCTGTTCAAACTTCAGTAGCTCCTGTTCACCTAACACACGCACACGCACACGCACACACACACACACACACACACACACACACACACACACCCACACCCATGTTGTTTACCCTGTTGGAGGCTTTCACACTCTGGTTGAGGCGTAGAATGACAGATGGAGGCCCCGGCCTGAACTGTGCAGTGTTTTGTGCTGAGCGTGTCACTTTGGTCACACAGGGCAGTTTGGGTGTGGTTGGTCTGGAGGGGGGGGTGGTTGGTCTGGAGAGGGGGGGGGGGGGGGCCTGCAGCCTCCCCTCACATTCTGCACAGGGCTGGGAACATCAGGGACATCAGGGTGGAGAGTCCGAACAGAGCCTGTGGGGATTGATCGTCTCATGTCGCTGTGAACACGGCAATAGTATTTACAGAGCAGCGAGGTGGCTAATTCTGTCTCCTGTGTGTCTCCTCCCTCTGTCACTGCAGTCATAACCAGAAGACCACCACGTTTCGGCATCCTGTGACGGGACAGATTTCTCCAGAGAACATGGACTTTATCCTGCAGGAACAGTGAGTGATCGATTTTGTTTCTTCTGTCACATAAAAACGAAAACACACACATGATTTTTCTGCAGCTGAAACATGTCAACACTCAAACTGCCTGAAAACTTACTGTATGTTCATCATCGTCAGGCTGTGAGTTGCTTTTATTATCTCTTTCTTTAAAGTGATGAGGTGATGCTGAGTAATGAGACAAATCTGACTGATGATTTGTTTTAGTGTCGTTTCTCGTTGTCTGACCTTCTGTTTGACTTTGGAGACATCCTCACAGTCATCATGTACATATTCTTCTCCTCAGTTTATCAGGTTATTCTTGTGTACTGAGAGTTTCTGGCAGGTTTGAGGTTCAGAGCTGTTTTTAGTAAAGATGTGGGCGTTTGATTTCACTGCCTCTTAAATAAAGAAGTGAAACTGTTGGATGTGTGAAGGGCACGCCATCGCTGCTCAGTGATGCTGCTGCAGGAGTCTGTAAAATCTGTCTCTTCCATCAGAGTTTGAACTTTTAGTTTCATCTGTTTTTTAACTTTATGAAAGTTTGATGAGAAGATCGATTTGTTTCATTATTATGTTAGCTTAGCATTGCTTAGCATAAAGACTGCAGACAGCAGGCATAAACATCTCATGGTGATTTAAAGACTGCAGGAAGTTACTGATCTGAGTCACATTGCCTCGTGTATTGACCAATCATGTTTGAGTGGCAGGTAAACACGGTCTGTGAGGACTGCATTGGCTGAAAGGGAATTTCGTAACCCCCTCAAGCTGTTGTCAAACATTGATTAAGTTTATGATAGGGCTGAACACGACTTAAAGTTATGTCCGCTGAATCAGATTTGGCTGTTCGAAATAAATTTTTAATTATTTGTTCCTTTTTTTTTCTCTCCACGAAGTGTTTGAACCACGCTCAGTGGAGCTTTCAGGGTGACAGCAGCGTTCACATAATATAGTAAACGAATCAGGTTAGCCCTCTGAGCTAATGTGTGCTGTCTCTGTCTCACTCAGACTCATCCTGGGTCTGTGTCTGTAGCTGTCTTGGTCTCGCTCAGACTCACCCTGGGTCTGTGTCTGCAGCTAAATCTGCGGACCAAAACACACTGACTGACAAACAATCAAACAAACAAAAATACGCAACTCGTCGACTTTCAGAATTTGAGTATTTAAATCTTTAGCCTTCAGGGTGCAGCTGTAATTTATACTGTCATTGAAAATGATTCATCTGCGTTGATGTGCAGAAATCTGTTTTCAGAAGTTAGAGCAGCATCACCGCTGCACAGATCAAGTCTCAGCCTGGATATTGGTTTTCTAAACTGAATCCACTGAAGTATTGGTGGTTGTCTCAGAGGCGTATAAACAGGATATAACCTGTTAATCACTGAGCTTTAGACGAGCTGGTGGTCGGATGTGTTTAACTTTAGATCCAGGCTTGTTGTTTCCTTCTGTGTCTGGTCTTACAGTTAAACAAAAGTAATCAGCTGTGATCAGTGAAGCAGAGGACGGATTTCAGGTGATACCTCTCTGATGTCCAGGGTGCACGGAGAAAAGAAAAAGTCTAAAGAAATAAAACTGCAGCAACAGTTTTAGTATTTAAAACAACTTTATCATCAGATCAATGTGTTTCATCAGGTCGTGATTAGTTCAGATATCAGAGTGGTTTTAATCTTGTCATCTCAACAAAAAACTGAATGAGTGCGTTTCCTAAAATGTTCCTTTAATGCTGAGCTGAAGGGTGTGTTGGTGTTCACAGTGTAAGAATTCAAAAATATTTGTATATTAGTTTAGTTTAGTTTATTTAGTCTTTTGCAAGGAAATTCTTTTTTTACAGTCAGTGCAAAACATTAACAGAAAAACGGGGGTTACATGACGTTAACAATTACATAGACATACAAACACACCACAGGCTGGAACATTGTCAGACAGATGTTATTCATCCATTTAGGGCATGCAGAGCTGCAGGAATGGAACTCTTATTGAACTTGGCTTTTTTGCACAGCGGTAGCCTGTACCTACAGCCAGAGGGGAGGGTAATGAAGTATTGGTAGAGTGGATGGTCAGGGTCCTGTGTGATTCTAAGTGCTTTACGGGTCAGAGATGAGCTGACACTGTCAGATAGGTTAGGAGTAGTTCATTCTCGGAACCCATCGGCTGTATTCGGCGTCTGACTTCCGGCAGACGGCGATACAGCCTCTGGGGCGGTTCCTCGATTTTTTGGCATTCCGGTTTGAGGAGGCGAATTTCCGTTACCGACTTTCGTTTATATATAAGTAAATATGCTGAACCATTGTGATGGATTCAGAGTTTGCAGTGACGCCAATTATGTTCCGCCTCGTTAGTTCACTGCACGAAGCGTTTAACCTGGCAACAACTGCAGCCAGCTCAAACGTGATTGATCAGTATCACACAGACTATAAACAGCCTAGCACCGGAAACCAGGGCTCTTCCGCTCTTCTTCTGGAGGCAAGATCTCCGGGGTTTGCCTACAGACTCTGCATTCACTGAATGTAGAGTCTGTATATATAGACTCTAGTTAAGCCCAGAATATCTATCTCTGAAGCTAAAAGAAAACATAGACACAGTCCTGATTCCTTTATAACAGGTCGGAGTTTTTTCACACTTGATCAGGAGACATTTCACTGTCTTTGTGTAGATAAAGATTTCTGAACCCAACACCAGACGTTCACCTCAATACGGACCATCTCTGTCTCACAATAGATCTCACACTCTTCTCTCCGGCTGCCCCACATTGTAAAGTAGGTCAATAAGACTGAGGAAAGACAAACAAGGGAAAAACAACACTCTTCAGGAAGCTTTGCAGAGGGGCTGGATTAGTTAATGGTTGTGTGGTTTTGTCAGAGCCAAAAGAAAAATGACTCCCATCTTGCTGTGGGCGCTGCGAACCAGTTTGTGTGGAAAAAAGCTCAAATGGCAGTGATATGTTTGACAGCATTCACAGTGTTTTCAGTCCACTGACTGCAGTTCTGTAGGCTCCAGCCCTTCTACACAAATCCACCTGCACACACCCTCAGGAGGGAGAGTAGAGTCTGGATGTCAGCCTGCAGAATACATTCAGCAAAAAGCAGCAAACTTAAAAAACAAAAACAGAATTGAATTTATTCCTCTGCAGCAGTCGTGGTGCTGCTGAACATTTGTCTTTGCTGCAGGGATGGGAGACTCAGAGCAATGAGAGAATATGAATTTAAAATCAACAGGACAGTTTTATATTTGACTCACAGTTTGACGTCAGGTCGCAGGGTCACAGCTTGACCTGCTGTTGTGGATGACATCATTATGGATTTTGATAAGAGGCCGCCTTTCTATGATACAAACATTATGTTTGGTAAGTTGCTTTCAATACTTGCTTATAACCTTTTTATAACTGTCTTTGGTTTTAAATCAGACCCTCAGAGATGACAGAGGGGTCGTAAAGAAAGCGCATGAGGACCCTTTGCATGAATATTCTGTGTTTTCAGCTCCTCTCTGTCATGGACATATTTATGCTGACAATACCATCTTGTATCCCATTGGTTTGGTTTTACATATCACAAGTGTGATAGATTTACTCTTGTATAATTTAATATACACAAAATGACAAATAGAACAAAGAGATGATGCAGAGAACCCAGTCGGTGAATCTGAAGTCTCAGCCTGTTAAAAGATGTCACGGCAATGTCACAGTGTTGCAGAGGACATTAAAAAAAATAACACACAGAAAATAAAAAAAAAACACTAAAGTGATGCAAACTAATATTATATAAATATAAAAAACAGCAGCAATATAAACCAAAAGCACAATGTGTGTAAAGTGTTAAAGTGTGTTTGTCAGGAGGATAAGATAAGATAACAACTATTTCCAGGGCCAGCCCTGGACATCTGGGGGCCCTAAGCAGGATAAGCTCCAGGGGCCCTACTTTGCCATAAATAGACACAAAACCAGATACTGTATGCAATCATAAACCTTATGCATTACATTTTTACCTCTATTAACATGATGGGCCATAGTTTACTGCTACACTCACTCACTCACTCACTCAAGAACAGATGTTGGGTGGCTTTGATCAGCAGTTACAACTCGATCTGAGGAGTAAAATCAGTTGCAAAAGCTTTAGTAACTTTTGTTCCACAATTTGGCAGCAAACATGAAACTTACCAAATGTATCAGTGGAACCAGTGGAACCAGCCCCAGGGGCTGAAGATGAGTCAGCTTCAGTGTGGGATGATGATGACGATGATGATGATGATGATGGGCCTGGTAGGAAAAAAAACTAACGTTTATCATTAAGAATTTCTTGTAGTCTCTTACTTTATATCAGTATCTTAATCATTTTATCTAAAAATCATACATGAGTTCAAATCGTTGTGAACAAAGACATTATTAATTTACACATATGAACATGTGTCCTCTGTGGATGAACCAGGAGGTGGAGTGTTGCTGTGTGAGAATTCAAATAGAACATACATAACATGCAGAGGAATGAAATATAAACAATTATTAACATCCATGAACAGGAAGACAACACAGTGAACTGTAATTTTAAAACATTTTCACTTCCCAGTGCTTTCATTCACTCTGGTTCCACCACCACCAAAATATTTGAGTATTGCTTCTTCTGAAAAAGTGATATATTAATTACTTTATTTGTTTCAATAACAATTATTGTAAAAACAGAATTGTGCTAACAGATTTTTTTAATCAATCAATCAATCAATCAATCAATTTTATTTATAAAGCCCAATATCACAAATCACAATTTCCCTCACAGGGCTTTACAGCATACGACATCCCTCTGGCCTTATGACCCTCACAGCTGATCAGGAAAAACTCCCCAAAAAACCCTTTAACGGGGAAAAAAAAATGGTAGAAACCTCAGGAAGAGCAACTGAGGAGGGATCCCTCTTCCAGGACGGACAGACGTGCAATAGATGTCGTACAGAACAGATCAACATGATAAATTAACAGTAATCCGCATGACACAATGAGACAGAGAGAGAGAGAGAGAGAGAGAGAGAGAGAGAGA